CTGTTCTATGAACTCACAACAAACGAGCACAGCATGTTGTTGGGTTGCTTGCAACAAAGAAACATGGTCAACATTTAAATATGAGAAATTTCTCAATACACTGCGAAATCGCTATACAGTGGATATTTTTTGGACCATAGTTGCTATCTCGTGCCTATTGTAGGTAGGTATTAGTTTCAGGTCGGTGCATGTTGTATGTAGGTATCAATTATAGGCAGGTGTCCGTTGTAGGTAGGTGCTCATTCTAACAAGGTGTCCGCTATAGGTAGATGTGTTCATTGTACGTATGTGTCCGTTGTGGAGAGGTTACCCTTGCCTTGGGCCTACATAAACCAATCATCAGGCGCTTGATAAAAGCTCTTGGACCATAGTATTTGTCTGTTTTCGGGGCAGAGAGTTGTTCGCTATTGGGAGTGACACTCGGTAAATAAGAGACGTCTGTGAAGTTAGGTTTTAATTGAGGAGCAAATTCTGAAGACTTTCATTCAAACTCAAATAAACGGAAATGTATTATACTTTAAGAAACAATTGATGCTCACAATATTTCGAGAAGTGCCTGTTGTCATGAAAATTAAACGACCTTGTGTTGAGCAGCTGGAGAGCCTAAAACCCTGCGATTGCAAAAACGTTTCCTTGTGTTGCAAACTTTTGGTTGCACAGGCAAATGACCTCGAAAGACATTTCCTTCTCCCTGATCTGCAAGAATGGCTGCTGAAAATTAATAATTCAACTAATACGGATTTGAAGCAAATGCATAATTCAAAGAGATCACCATTTCTGCTTGCAGATGCTAAACCCGCCAATCCTCAAGATTAGATCCAGAGCAGCCACTGAGGAACGTTTTTACTTCTTTGCAAAACACTTCTTTAATCTTTAAATTGCTCTCTGATGTCAACATATCGCTCAAAAAATGTTTTAAGCAAAGCTACATTTTTTTAGTGGACAACAAAGAAATAAATAGTAATGGCCCAATAACAGATACTTGAGGTACACATAGATTCAATGTATATCGATGTAAATTTCCTCTGATGAACCAACAATTCAGTTTGAATAGAAATCGTAATTTCAGTGTTGCCTTATGGTATTCAGTCTTACAAAATATAACAGTTTTCTAACAGTTTTCCTGAGGAATATGTCAACAGAAGTTATGAATAAGGGCGTAATGCCATTCTGATGACGCAAAGACTGAGATGATACTTAGGTAATATGGCGAAGGCTTTTCACGCTAAACTTGATTGGTGCTGAACTGTTGGCATGACGAAGTCAGCACTGTTATCCTTCGTCTTTTGCAAACAAACCAGCTCTTTGCAGAATTAGTATGGATCAAAAGTTAAACAGAATTTATCTGGAGGTCAGTGACCCTAGAACAAGGTGAATTCAAGTTACAAGAGTTTTCTTGAAAAACACGTGCTCTCAATTCTGTAAGGATAAGCAACACATCTGCCGCACGTGCTCGTTGGAAATTCAAGAATACTGAGAAAAATAAAAACAGCATCTGTTGCAGTGTTACCAAAACAAGCAAAGCAAACCGAATTCCGTAAGCTTGTTTACAGTATTTGTTTTGAAACCGTTCCTTAGCAACCAATTATGCACTTATCCAGGTGATTTTGAACCAAGTTATGCTGGCTTTGTTGAGGGTCTTGAATTTGTCTAAAAAAAGTTTCGTAGAAAGGTGGCAATTTATTTTGTTATTTAAAAAGTAGGAAACAGAAAATTGACAATGATATACATGGACGTTAGAAATTTATAGAGAATGTTTTAAGTTTAGTTGATATATAGGTGTGGAAGACAGAGGGATGTAGAAGCCCCCTAAACAGGCAACATCAGCTAGGCCCATCAGTGGATAAGAGTTGTGTTTGTCTCCTTTCAAATTCTGAGAGATCTAGAAACATTATTTCTAGAAGTTTTGCAGATTATGATAAAAAGAAGCTTAACTTTGTCTCATCAAGATAAAAGAGTGACGCGCCCCCAGCACTCTAGCCTTGAGTTGCAATTGTTGGGGTCATTGCAATTGACTGCTCATTGGCAGTGTTGTTTTGTGATTTGACTGCCCAGGAGCAAGAAATATATGCTTTTTGTGTTTTAAAGAAATTCAATCAATCTTTGGAACTTCGAGATAGTAAAAAACACTTATCTTGGATAAACTATTTTGGAATTGTCCAGGTAAGCATACGAGCGACATAAAACTGTAAGTGCCATATAAAAATAACTGGAATGAAATATTACTGCGCAAATCAACACAAATTAGTCCCATTTTTTAAAGTGACAAACATGTAAATTTACTCTTTTAATCTCTAAACTACATATATGTGAAAACAGAAAAAATGAGCACAGAAGGTCTCAATTTGATGAAATCAATTTGTTTTTCTATTATATATCTGTCCTAGCTCAGTGCACTGCAAGTAAATAAAAACAAGGGATATAATATACACATGACAAAACAAACACTGGGGTTCTCTCAACTGTGGAGCACCAGAGCCAAGACAGAGCCAGACCAAACAGTATCCTGCATTTGTGATAACTGCGAATCATTGATAAAAATTTGTTTGCAATGAGATTACACGGCGGGGCATTGGCGATGCTTGGCAAGGTAAAGGCAGTTTAAAATCATAGTTTAAAATTATTAAGAATATATTGACATAATTTTACCCTCTGTTAAAACTGTATAACTTCGCCTACCATAACTATTATCGCAATTTAGTAACATTATTGCCCTCCCATAAAGATTCAGACGAAATGCAAAATCGATCCAGAGGAGAAGTGGGGAGGGGGGCGTGAACCCCAATATTCCCGTGGTGTTATCATTACCTTTTTGCAATGACATCGAAACAAAATTCATATTGGGGGCTGCCCATTGTATCGGTCCCGTTCATTACAAAAAGATATATTACAGTTTGATGATTATTGGGGGGGGGGGGGTGTCCAGACCCCCGCTTCCGACGGCTCTGTATTTGCGGATGTCAATATCTTATCAACTAGCGTCATGCGGCGTATAGTTATCCAGTGGCCTGGGTCCTACGGCCTAGGACACATCTCATTTGATCGGATGAGCATGCACCAGTTCGTTCAACTTTGGAAAATTTATCAATGACATTCGACCCACCGACTAAAAATATCAAATCTAATGAAGAAACACAAAGGAGCTTAAACCTGTATATTTTGCCCTCAAAAAGCGATGGATCAGAGTTAATAGGAGCGTGATTTGACATGAAATTAAAGGAGGATTTAAGAGCAAAAAGAAAATGTTTCAAGAAACAAATGATCTCCTGTGTTGCTTCCGGAGAAAAAAATGCATTGATGGAGATAAATTGATTGTAAGAAGATTATGAGGAACTTAATCGGATAATCAGAAGGAAATGTCCTATGGTGGTTCTGAATAGATACTTCATATTTACGGGTGAATGCACTTGTGACTTTGCCTATAGCCTGCAATACAAAGAATATAACAGCACGGAACATATGCTTCTTTTTTAAGAAAATGTAAATAGTGAGCTGTTGTTGGGTTGAATTTTCGTTTTAAATCGAGCAACGGTCATTTGACAGGTTTAGGAAAAAAATTTGATGTGTATTTTCTGGAGCCCAAAGTCATGTGACTATAAAAATGGTCAATTCACATCCTTTTACCTCAGGGATATACAGTCAGGGGCGGAGTTTCGGGGGCTGAGGGGGCCGAACCTCTGTTTCTCCTATTCTGCTTCGTGCTTCAATTATTCAAAAAAAATTTAATTCTTTTTTATTTCAAGGTACTATGTCTTCTCATATAGGCCTTTTGTCGGCCTTCGGATAAATTAGTTTCGATTAGATTTTGGTAATTTTCTAAATGTTATTGAATAGAGAGTTGATGAAAATATTGGGATTTTTGCCTTCTGGTCAGACGGGTTTATTGGAGCACCTTGTTGTGGATGCTTTCGATATTAAACACAAAAATAATTCTGTCTCATAAAAAAGTTCTGATCGTTTCAACGGCTAGTTATCCCGCTTCCCAGCGTTATCATATCATAACTGTTTTACAGTTTTAAAGCTAATTGGAATATGTTAGTGTCGTCATAAAAAAGCTAAACCAACATAGCTTCTTATCTGTATGACTTCAAATTTCAGCAATCCGAACAAATGAGAATTTCTATAGTAAAATTTCAAAAGTCATTGTCTTGAAATAGGGCGGCGGTACTTAGAAAAAGAGGCGATATCTTTAAGCAAAATGTTCCTTCAAAATCAATCTTGTACTCTCGTGGCAAACTCTCAAACGGCAAAGAAATAAAGCACAAAAGGTTCGCCATTTACAATTGAGTATAGAGGTGTGAATGCAATTACTCGCGGTTTGAGTCCAAAGCTGGAGAGTAAGAGAAAGTCTGAAATGAAAAGGGGGCTCACTGGGGCAGACTGGTCCATGGGGGGGGTGATGCTTAGGGCGGGGCTGAATAAAAAGAGTAATAGGAAAACGCGACACTCAAAATGTTTAATGAAGATTTGTGATTTTCAAGAACCAGCTCTTTGAAAGTGTGATTAGAAAAGTTTTTGTACAAAACTTGTTACCTGTAGAAAAAACTAAAGTCAGTATTTTCAATCCTCTTAAGACAGCAGAAAGAACATCGGGGCCTTAGGTTTAGTTCCGCAGAGAAAACAGACCCAACTACAATCCGTTTAAAAGGGCTTGGTCGCATTTGGTGTGACATGTGACGATTGCAAAAAGTCAAGTTTATTTATGCAAAACTTCGAATTGCTAGTTATCTGACAAAAATTTTTGGTTAAAAATCCATAATGGAAGTCGTTCTTTGAGCTTTGGTAAATAGAAAATCTTCAAGACTACTCGAGTATGATTTGCGAACCTTACAAAAACGTAAAAATTTCCGGAAAGGTGATGCTAGGGGGCGATTGCCCCCTCCACCCTTTACGTATCCGTAAGAAGAGCCCCCAATAAACAATGCAGATCACAAGTTCATCAAACATGCAGGTTTTGAGAATCAATATACTTATAAAGGGAATACCCCCGGAACAAGTACTTTTCAGAAGCTGCTTGTACAGTTAATCTTGAGCATTGTTTAGGGGGTATTAGTGTTGCCATTCAGTGAAATGACCTCGCAGGGAAATGATATTCTGACTCAAGACGATCAACCGTGCGGCATAAATGCTCTGTGCTGCGTCTACGCGTGCACGGATTTCCACTAACTGCAACGAACGTGGCACACTGGCACTTCTTTGTTCGAAAATCTTTCACATTGACGTTTTGTCGTGGCTAACACAGCATGGATAAATGCCCTGGCAATTAGGAAGAGAAAACGATCTGATATTAAACTAAATGGATTTTAAACGATTTTAATGATCTGTAATTTCAGGGTTGTTATGATAATGATCTGTGTGTAACTGGATGGTTGTGCGGGTGCTGGATTCACGTTATTCATACGAGGAATTAGGCGAGTACGAAAACGATTTGAAAGTTGCTGAAGAATCAGGGATTGTAAGAATCAAGGATTGTTGTGTTTGAAAACAATGAAGATCCCCGCTTGACCGAGGGAAAAGAGCCGCTTGCTGTCCGTTGAGAACAGTATGGCCCTGCTGAGAGAGCTCTGTTCCACGAGAAAAAATTGTTGTTATGCAGCCCGCATTTGTGAAAATTCATTGAGGTTCTGCTGGTGGAATTCAAAACAGTGCCGTCGCAACAGTGCTTGTTTTAATGAAAGCAGGTTTCCGAACAAAAACAGAGGACAAGTGCCGACGATTTTAGTTTATTCACTCATATTTTGCATCGCCTGTTGTCTGTTTACATTTGGTGATTGTTGTGCGAAAGGAATTATTTTCGAAAGAATGCTTAAGCCATATTCCTGAAAAGCCCGTGTTTACCTAAATTGGGAGCTTTAATCGGAGCATTCACAAAGACTTGCAGTAAACGCCAAGAAGGAATCGTTATAGCTACAACGGAGTAGTTTTGTGCAAATTCCAAGTATGGGAATATTTAACATCTTCTGTTTTAGAACTAAAAAAGTGAGTGCACTAAAAGCTACCTTGATAATTGCTGTGTTTAGCAGTGTTTATCTCGTTAAACAAAAAATGGGGGATTTCATCAGCGTGCAAGACTCGGCTCCACCTGAGGATATTGTGAGAATTTTAGAAGTACGACGAGCAAGCTTGCAGTTGAACTGGTTGTCGAATAAAGAAGACGCTTCAAACACGCGACAGGAAATATCTAATGAACACCAAGAAAGCATCGAGGTCGAAACGAGCAAAGTGCAAGAAGGCAATAGGTTCAACGAGGATAAAACGTATAATTATCTCATTTACAATAAGCAGGTTGATTTGGAATTGAAGAGAAACGCAACTGAATCGAATAACGCGCGAATCACTGAGCTGCGGAAAGGAGGCTGGCTACCTACTCTACAATCACATACCAGCAATGCTTTTTATATAAAAGAGGATTTAAATCGCCGAAGGAAAGAAGTTAAGCAGTGGCGGAGAAAATATTTATTTGCTCTCCGGTACTACGAGCAGTTGGCCGGGGCAACGAAAAATTTAATAGACTTTGCATCGTTAGGAAAACACTTCAATAGAGAAATAGTTATGCCGTTTGTAAATAATTCCAGAATGAACGGAATCCCATGTAAAACAATGCAAAAAGCTATGAAATACACATTCAGTAATTTGAGCCGATATTTCGATATTAAGCACTTGAATTCGACACTAGCAGAACGAGGGTATGCTCCACTGGCGCATTTTCACGATTTTGTCAATGACTGCAAATCGGGACTGGACACCGTCGTTCATTTTGTTTACAACGACACGTTCTCGGCAAACGATGCGAAGAATTGGTTCGGCGTTTCACCAAAGCGGTGGGATGAAATACGTCAGTATCTGGTTGGTAATGGTGGATTTGGGGATTGTGAATTTCTAAGAAAGTCAGGGATCGAACGGCTTCTGGGCGGTGTTGCAGTTAAAAAATACATATGCGTAGACCCTGAAATTATTCGCACGGCGAAAGAAATTGAGCATGCGGTTTTCAAAGAACAACGTTGTATTGGAATTATTCAATGGAAAGGAACAGGAAATCGAAGAACTCATTTCCCGGTGCCCAAAAGCGTGTTTCAGCAACTGCGGCCGTCGGACGTAATGCTTAGTCGCAGACTTAATACAATCGCGAAAGATTTCGTCGATAAAAATATTAAACAGCCATTTCTTGCTGTTCATATTCGTTCTGAGAGGCAGTTAGCCTGGCGAGGAATTGACAAGTTTCTGAAATGCACTAACACTTTGACAAAGAAGGTGTTTAAAAGGAAGAAAGTTTTTCAAATCAAGAGTGTGTTTCTAGCGACCGACTTGCCCGCATACGGTTCCGACACCTTCCAAAGCGCGAAATCTCGCGAGCGGTCACTTGCTAACAGATATGTGCTTGATGCATTTAAACAGCCGCTGACATTTTCGCCTGAGGTTTACGGAATACACGACAAAGGCGAAATATCGATTATTGAAATGAACATACTGCGTCTAGGCGAATCGTTGTATACTTTGGGGGGAGGGAAGTTTCAGGATTGGATAGTTGACTTGTTTTTAGCTCAAAATACCGAAGATAGGTCACTTGTTCACAGGGTTTGTGTAGAGAAAGCTAGTTAAAATTACCAATAGTAAACTCTTGACTGAGCCTTTATAAAAACCCCCTGTCAACTCGAAAAACTCCGGACCAGGAATGGAGTGGTTGGGGGTACCAGATCCATTTTTCGTGGGGCGTAATTCTGTCTACACAACACATAGCCTCCTCCCTAAAAATGAATTTACTCACACTGCATCCTTCCCTAGACAATAATCACTTTTGAAAATACTTTATCTTGCAGTGGCTTGTTCAAGAGTTAACGATACACATTTGAAGACTGTTAAGTATTTATTTTGACAAGAATTTAATCAGTTAACATATCCTGCCCTCGCAACCCATGCACGATGAAATCTTTTTTACATCCATTTTAAGGTGAATCTAAGCTTAAAAGAAATCTTCACTCCAGGTAATTGAAAATGATCACCAATTGTCAAGAAACTATTTCAAAAATAAAACCAAGTTGATTTCTGAGCTGGTTATCTTCCTCGTTGGTTTAAGAAGTAGAAAAGAGGACATGTATTTTCCTGTAAGTCTGCTCGTTACCTTAATAAGGAACAAAACATTGTATTTTGAATCAAGAAATCTAATCAATTTCACTATGAGATGCCATCAACGGCAAGCCAGCTTTTGTAGAAAGAGCCTAACACAGAAAATAGCCAAAAATTTAATCATTTTCCAAGAAATTTTGTTTACCTTTCGATCGGGAAGCCATAAATATAGTTTCGAAGATTGCTCACACATCCACAAAAAACAGTAAGAAGAAAGCTGTTGATATTTAAGACCACAGTGGTCCCTTGGAATTAATATAGATCGTTTGATAAACTAGGTATTATTTGCTAAATTTGATATTTATTTATTAAAGTTGTAAACATTTTATGTTTAAAAGTGTGTCGGATTTATTAGGTAAATATTATGTTAGAAGATAGACACTAAATCTATTTATTATGCTTTCTTTATCAAGTCTTCGTGTTTGCTCGGGGTTCACAATGCAGCAAAATGGTATGTTGGTGCGTCAAGTACAAGCCAATGAAAATTGCCTTTACTCTGAAAGTCATGCTGTCTTCATGACTTTGTAGTTAAAAGAGAGAGTAGCTTTTATAGAGCAGCATTAAAATATTGTAGAAAAAATATGCAGCTATGGCCATTTCCCCAAATAAAAATGCTACTTAAATTTCTCGACATGGCCTACGCTCTTCATTTCGCATTTCTGGTCCCCAGTCCCCCTTCTTGTATCGTTCGTGACATGTTTCTACCTGTGCTTTTATTCAGTTGAGCGTATAGGCAATTCATGTCATAAACCACACATAATCAATTCATTTCCCAAAGATTCGCTTCAAATCCTAGAATAATCTGTTGTCCTAATTAAGCTCCATCACAGATTCAATTTTCCTTGACACATGAAATTGTAATCTTCTACGATTTCCATCATTGTTTTCTTTCTTGAAAACGTTCGTGAAATGAATTATATTTCTTAATTTTTAATGAAACAATAATTCCACTGTTTGATCACAAGGGATGATGCTGTTACTTGATTAATCCAATTAATTATGGCGCAAAGCCATCTTCCGTTCAGCCCCGAGGGATTCGTAAATGAATGCTCCCCTAACAATGGAAACTGATATTTGCTCTCCACTGGAAAAAGTAGGGGTGAAGGTGAAGGGGTGAATGTAAAATGGTGGAAAAAAAGTGGAAGGGGGAAGGTTGATGGATCGAAAAGTGAGTCTGAGATGGTACACAAAGATCTGGTTAACCGTTGTACCGTTTGAGGACATTCTTATATTTTTAACATTCTATTTTTTATTTCCTTATTACGCCATTTTTTTATTCAAAAATATTGTTATATTTTATTGATTAAAAGGGAATTATTCAAAATCTTAGTACGAAAAATTGAAAATTGAATAAGCATAGAAGATCTATGAGAAGTATAGACCATAAACTTTAAATCGTGGGGTTGTGCAGAATGAATCAAAATGCCTTGTTGGTTCCCTTTTGAAAGGTTTTGTCCTGGGCTAATTAGCTCACTGAAAATTTGTGTCCGAAATGTTTCTGATATCTGCATAATACTGCATTTAGGCATTTTGATGCCCTTTTTGAAACTTTATAAGAAAGGATGGTGTTTTAAAGTTGTGAGATTCTCATATTTTAAATCAACGAAAGGCACTAAAAAGTTCTTACTCAAAAGACAAAATACGAAAGATACATAGGAGATGTTCGTAGTGAAAAAATTGATAAAATTGTAATAGTGTCAGTTCATTGTCCTGAAAGTTTTGAGTTATTTCTGGCAAATTAAAGTACCAAATGTTATGGGATTCTAACATCTTTTAAACTGCAGGGAAACAGTAAACCTTGGCCGTTTTATGTTGGGCCGTATCTCCTTTCATTTTTGATCAGCTCTAGGTCCATTAAAAATCACTTTAAAATGCAAAATTGATGGTTGAAAATCGTTTTGCTCTTTGGGTAATTAAACGTGCATCAAGCTTATGACGTCATATATGTGCCCTCAAATTTATAAACAAATGCTTGAAAGAGACTCGAGGATTTCTTTTAATTTCTTTTTAATCAGCCATGTTCAAATATTTTCACCGGAAACCAAGACATCCGCACGGAACGAAAATATTTTCATAATTACAAGCCACAAAGAATTTGTATTTCACAACGACGTAACTTATAAGTTCATCAAGAAATATTTGTCTATCATGTTTTAAAGCGCTGAATTATATTTACAAACTTCATTCTGCTTCGGAGATTAAAAATTGATGAGCGACATTTCAAAAAATGTCAACTTGCCAGGTTTTGCAAAAATATTTTCTTCTTTAGAACCTCCTGCCCGACGCGATGAAAAAAGGTATCTTCGCTTCGCTTCGATAAGTGATCAAGGAAAGAATAAACGCCTAAACAGCGTTGCTGGAAGATATCTTTAAAGGATGAGTTTCGATTTTCATTAGAATACACGGTCACACGTATTTTTAACCCTTAAATAGTGCTCTCAAGAGTCAAGTCAAGAGGATCTTAAGAATGGGAAGGTTTAAGTTAGAGACTAATATTAAAAGGCTGTAGGGTTGTAAATATTGCAGTAAGTGGACGGAAATATTGTCTGGATCATTTTAGAAGTTTATGAAAAATAACGTTGCTTATATAATTCAAAATTATGAACATATGACGAACATTATAATTCATTTAATTCAATTTCAATTAATCTTAATCATATTTATCAACGATATCCATTTAGTTCCTCTATAAAAGTAAATTACAGTTTCTAATGAATCAAACCAAAAATACTTCATGTTTTTTTAATCATCTTAGAATATTTCAAGCATTGTGCATTTCCCGACACATGTCCATACACGATTTCCGAATTAAAACATCCTACATTTTCTCTACATGAAATATAAATCGAGAAAAATTAATGAATTGGATGAAATCCAGTTGATAAGGACATGAAATATTTTCTCCGAGTGTAGGAAGAATCTATTCAAATGATTTTTAATTAACAAAGTTGTATTTACATAACAAACTTCTAAATATTTGAAGAAACGTTGATGAGTTTGGCAGGATTTACAACCTACTTCTTACAGAACAGCCCCTTCTGCTTCGTTTGAGACATTTCACAAACATGAAATCGCTGACCTCGGATTGAGATCAAAACTTAAATCCAGCAACAAGATTCAATATTGTTGTGATAAGCATTTTACGACGATATTAATTTTGAAAATTCACAACGGTTGTCACCGCAAATAATCATTCAGGGGTGTTATTTTACACTTTCAGACATTTTCACAGTCAAATCCTTTACAGAATTCCGGACTCTGAATTAGTACTGGCAACCAACGTAAAATATATCGACAGAAGACAATGGCGTGCACTGTCAAGTAACGCTTGGAAATGAAAGCCCGGTTCAAGCGAAGTAATAAACGGATAAAGGTTGATACAAATAGCGAGAGAATCGTGATAGAACATTTAGTAATCAATAAAAGACATTGATAATACTGCAAATTAATCCAATATAACCAAGATAAGAAGGAAATTTTGAGCTGCAAACAGCAAAAAGCGGCTTTTTGACAACTGATTGAGATGAAAAAAATCCGATATGAAGGTATGATCATAACAAATTAATGTTCATTTGTATCATCGTGAGCTTGGGATTATAGGGCCTCAAAGGAGACTAATCCTTCTCGATTGAATCAGACAAACGACATAGGCCAGGATAGATTACTTGGACCCTTGGACCAAAATCCAATTGACTTCTTAAAACAATTTGCGAATGTGATCTGAAGCAGTCTTTTCTGAGCCAGATACTATACGTTTGGCATGTGGCGGACATTCACACGCAAGTCACAGATGCGCGCAAGTTCTTTATGGTTTGACCGAACTTTCAGCGTTGCAACAGAACAACACTATTGTTCATATCAATAGCTGATACCAACACATTTCCAAATATCGCTGATCAAGCTGAAAAATTTAGAGCAAAAATACGGTAGGATATGACAGGAAAATTGAGTCGCCCCTGTGGAAGGCTGAGAGTAGAAAGGCAGTTTTGCCGATAGCCAAATTTAAAAGTAGGATTGCTGATAAAACGCTCTTCGCTAGATGCTTCATCCAAATGCTCATTGGCGGACATATTGAGATTACTGGACGGATAATCTTGGCAGATTGCTTTTCAAATCCAGCTACACTTTAGAAAATGTCATAATTTCTAGAGCCAAGAACGGCCCGGTTTATTTATTTTGCATTTGCAATTGCTACCTAGCATCCGAAGGTATTTTTTAGGACAACGAGAAGCTGTGCTTATCGAACAGTGTCCTGGTCCTTCCTCTCGATGTGACAAAACTCGTGATTCCTACGCCTGGAATCACATAGAGCTGGCAATTCCCCTCACTTTGGGTGACAGTTTGGTCATGCCAGGGATTGGAACCATGGACCATTAGATCAGCGCCTCTCGCCACTTAGTTATCCCAGTTCAATCCCCGCAAGTCGCTCCATTCTTGTTCGGGAGTTGAATCATGCCCGTCTTCCAGAGATGCACTAGCCCCCGTTTCGGGGTCATTGCACATGCGCAATCATGCCCGTCTTCCAGACATGCACTAGCCCCCGTTTTGGGGTCATTGCACATGCGCATTATCACTTGAAGCCCTGGCAGGAAATTCAAGAATTGTGTGGTTGCAGACAGAACAGCTGTGCGAATACTGTTATTAATGCGCATGTGCTATGACCCCGCAACACTGATTGGTTTAAGATGGTATTGTTTCGAAACAAGAACTGATAGTTTCGTCTCCCGAACAAATTAAGTCCCTTGAAAACGTTTATTTTACTTGAAACCCACATGAATATACAACTTTATCTTTATAACAGGAATGCCACTGTAGGTTTGAAAATTTTACAGCGTAAAGTTGTAGCTATCAGTAAGAGAAATAATCGAAGCGGATCTATGCAACAATTGCTTCCAAGGTTCTTAAGAAACCTTCTATCTAATTCTGCTAAAAGACAAAGGGAGGCCATCAAACGTTGTCTAAATCTTCTAAAGATCTGCAAGTTGTTTTCTCTTTGCTCAGACTGTCATCGTTAAGTAACATATCCCACCCCTATCACCATCTTTGAATGAGCCGCGTATTTGTATTTGTCACATTCTTTGAAGGAGCACATCCTATTTGTATTTGTCACATCCTAGTTTTGCACGTGATCGGGCTATCATATAATACAGAAAAACTAATTGCTTTTAGGAAAACACAGGTTACTGTCGAGACTGCGAAACGGATTGGCTAAAATTGTTCTCTAATGAAATGTAAGCATGGTTTTGGGGTCTCGTTGTCAAGAAGTCATGTGCTCGTGTACCTTTACAGTCATGTGCTCGTGTTTCTGATTGGCCTATTTCGATCCACATTTGGGTATATATATTTCTTAGCGTAGAGTTTTCGATCTATGTTCTGACGTTTTAAACTCTGAAGAGTGTCAGACGAAAAGCT